ATTAAATACTGTTCATCTAATGACAATACCAAACAAATAATTTTAGTGCCATTATTTTTTAGTATAGATTTTATATTGGTAGTACATCTAAATAAGACGAAAAATGTTATGTCTGGGAAGGGGTGGCTGAAATAAAAAAAAAACCAACAAGAACACAGAAGCACTAGGTATTACTCAGGTGGAAAACCATTTTGTATTATAATTTACATGACAATTGGTCATTTGGGAATGTGTGGGGACAGTTCCAGAAAAGGCTCAGTGAGGAAAAACTCTTAATAAAACAAATGTAACCAAGATCTGAAGGCAAATTACAAAGAAATTTTGTTATTCTCTCTCTCTCAAGAGGATGCATACCCCTAGATCGTTTGATGAATGAACAGAAGTAGAAACTTCTCGAACTTCTACTTTAAAGAGAAATTTTCTCCTGTTGAATTGTGTCACCCCTGTCAGACACAAGACACAAGCAGGAACAAAGGGACCTACTGAGAATATAAAATGTTGAAACTTTGCTTTCCTTTCACTAGAATAAACTCTTGGGTGGTGGCGGGGGAGAATTTTATTATTGGTTTCTGTAGAAAAAGTAATATATTGATAAGGAAAATAGATTCTAACACTGCAACTGACGTGGACCACGAGAGAGATGTGACAAGTGTCACAAATTTAGCTTTGAAGCTGCAGCGTGAAGGGTGGTGTTTCACCACTTGATGTCACTGCAGCATTTTAAGTTTGTAATACCTTGACCATTTTTAGTCGCTGCTGTTCTCTCTGGATTGTTATTTTTTTAATTATTATTTTTATCGTGGTCATGGCTGCTGTTTTTAATCAAGAATGAAAGACAGCCCCTAGTAGCCCTCAAAAAAAATTAATCTTGTTGAGTATTTAAACAAACAGCATGAAGCCTTGGGCACCAAGCTCTAAAGAGCTGATTCAGACCTTGCACAGTCCAAGGTTTGGAAATCTGTCAGATCTGCTACTGTAGCTATTGGTGAAACTGATCAAGTTCCAATCCTCTTCCCTTGACATCTACACCCTTTCCCCCTCCCTGAAATAGGTATGTCCTGACACTGAGCCCTCTGTGCACATCTTTCTCTCAGTGACACAGGGAGCATGCCAAATTTTATATAAAGAGTTCTATTTGACAACAATTCAGAAAACAAACTCATTTCAGACAGTGATTGCCTCTGTGCTACCTTCAGAGATTATCAGATAAGAGTTTCTGTGTCTCCTATTGCTCCCAGGTGTTGGGAAAAAGGGGGAAACGGGAAGGGGAAGGGGAAGGGGAAGGGGAAGGGGAAGGGGAAAGGGAAGGGGAGGGAAGGGAAGGGAAGGGAAGGCCCTCTAAACTGGGAATACCCTGAAACTGAGACTAGCAGATGAGAGCATGCTGTACCAGCCAGAGAGAAGACACATCCCTTGATGCTCATGTGTAGCCAGCTGCAAAATTTCTTATCCAAAGGCTACAGCCACACAAACATCTTGGAGTGATTCTTTAACAGCTCTGTCTCTGCTCCTTTCCTGGCTGCCCTTCCGTGGCTGCTGTGGTGGGGTGACCTTGGCCAGCTGCCAGGTGTTCAGTAAGCCACCCTTTCACTCCCCCTCCTCCTTAAGCAGGACAGCAGGGGCATGGGGAAATAAGATTAAAAGCTCACAGGTCAAGATAAGGACAAGGAGATTACTCACTAGTTACTATCATGGGCAAAACATGGGGATGATTAATTTAATTTATTGCCAGTTAATAGCAGAGGAGGATAAAACACCTTCCCCAACGCCACCAAGAACCACTCTGGTGGGAATCCCTCCCACAGGATTCCTTCAGGAGCTCCACTGTGGGTCCCCACAGGCCAGGACCCCTCCAGGGGCTGTAATTTCCTTTGGGACACATCCCCCTGCTCCTGCCTAGGCTCCTCCAGCAGCTGCAGGGGTGTCTGTGTTTCCCTTTTCCCTTCCATGGGCTGCAGGGGCTCAGCTGCCTCTCCATGAGCTGCCCCAGGGGAATCTCAGCTCTGGCACCCAAAGCAGCTCCTGCCCCTTCTCCTGTGCTGCCCTGGGTGTCTGCAGGGCTGTTTTTCTCACATTTGTCCCACTCTTGTCTCTCACAGCTGCTGTGCTGTGTTTTTTACCCTCTCTCTCACACGTTGTCACAGAGCTGACAGCAGTGTCACCACCAGCTCAGTTTTCCCCAGCAGCTGCTCTGTTCTGGAGCTGTCTGACACAGGGGCATCCCCCAGTCTCCTCTCACAGGAGCCACCCCTGCTGCCCACTCACTACCAAAACCATCTGTCTTTCTGGCCTCAAGTCTTTGATGAACACACACAGCTTTGTTCTTCATCCCCTGTGATCTCTAAGTGAGATACAGAAATGGAGGCTCAAGCTAAAATTTATGTTACACAGTTTGTGCGAGCAGAGTTTCCTTACATATGATTTTCCTCTTCCCAGTTTTCCCTTGACACTTTGGCAGTGCTCTGTTGGATTCTGACACTCATTCACGACTCCTGTGCAAGGAGGAAGGGATGGAGGCTTGAAGGCCAGCAAGATGGCTAGTGTTCAATTCTAGTGTTCACTTTAGTCCAATTTCTAAATAAGTGAGTGCACTTATTCACAATTTATTGTATATAAATAATATAAATACAATATATTTACAATATAAATACTGTAAATAAAACACAATTTGCAAATAAGTGCAGCACTGGCCAAGATGTAGCCTCTATGAAACTGGCCAAATGGGTCACAAATAGAAACAATTAATGCTCATAATTACTTTACACTGCTATATGGAGCCAATCAATACACATCCTAAGCCTTGTTAAGGGATGTTACCTTTACTGAGGAATTTTGTCTCTTTCACTTAATCTGTAAAGCTACTTCAGGGTTTTAAGTTAAATACAAAATCCAGCCTCCTAGCCTCTGTTTTAATGTGTTCAGGATGTTTTTCTTTGCCTTTTACTCCTGAATTTGTGTATTAGCTGAAGCCACAGCAAGATCTTTGGTGAAAGTGTGTGGGAGAATGAAAATGCTGATGGGGAAATGCATCCTTATTTCAACAATGTCAGATGGAGGAAACAGATCAAGACTCTAAACCACATCAGGCATTCCTGTCTCACAGACCAGAGTTTATGAGAATAATGTGTGCAGCTGTGACCTCTGAAAGTACCTCCTGAATCCTGCAGGGAGTTGCAGTGCTGGTGAGGTATTTCTCTGAGGAAATGCAAGTTTGGCTAAGCTCCTTCTGGGTTTCTAACTCTCTGTTGTAAATTACTTTTTTACAGAACCCAAAATGCAGCATTGAGCCTGGGAACCTCTTTTTTTGCCAAGCCCTTTTCAAGACAGATTTTTTATTATTATTATTATTATTATTATTAATTATTATTATGCACAGATCTGGAGCTTTTCCTTGCAAGAGGCCTCCCTGCTGTGTGACAAATGTGTGCTTGTTCAGCTGCAGGTAATGCAACACCACCCTCAGCAGAGTGCAAGCTTTGCATTTCACCCTCTCCAGACCAAGGTTTTTCTCACCACTTCTGGCAGGCTGCCAGTTTTCCATGCAGCTCTGAAATTAAAAACCTGGCCATTATGCTTTTTGGTGCAACTAGACTCCAAGTTATCCATAATAAAAGCTAAACTTTTTCTTTTTTTTTTTTCCTTTTTTTTTTTTTTTATCCTCTCTCTTGTAAAGAATTTGGGTTGATTGGGTCCTCTGGGTGCTGTTAATGATAGTAACTAGAGAACAGGGAGAAAGGCTTTATGAGATAAGGCTCTAACTCTCTTATTTCAGGACATGATGCTTTTTTCTGTGTTAGATCTCTCGAGTCACTATAGGCCAGGAGTGGGTGATAATTCAGGTGCTCATTCTGGAAGCAGCTGACCTAAAAAACTGTCAGGGGTGTTTTGCAAAAACCTATTTGTGCCTCCAACCAGTGCTTCTGATAATGTTGTGGGAGCCTGCAACAATAAACAAACAAACTTTATTCATATTATTTTTTTTTCCCTTCTCACATGCTGAACCAAGGCAGAGAAACTACCAAATTACGTGAAAAGTATGACTGATATCTCCTATACAAAAAAAAAGCAGTGAAAGAAGCTTGAAAAGTGCAAGAAAGGCATCCATACTTCAGCTTGTGTGTAGTCATATTAGTAACAAAAGTGAGTAATATTATTTACTGACCAGAACACTTTAGCTTTATAAAGAACACTTTTTATCTTTTCTCTAGAGCTTTGAAAATCATTCTGAAAAATGCAGGAGTGGGAGGTTTCTTTTGCCAGCCATTCTTTGTATTGAGAAAATGATCACCAGCTTGGCATTTCTGTTTACATGTTTTGTTCACTCACTACTGGGAACTTTGTGTTTATTATTGCTGAACTTCAGGCCTGCTATTCTAATTGTGGCATTTGTGTGAAAAGCACTGTCTACCTGGATAAAACTTAGGCTGTCCATTAAACAATGACAGAGGAGATCCTCTGGCAGTAATTAAAAGAAACAAAACACCTATATCACAATGCAACACATCAGGCAGACCTTGGGTAATATCTGTTAAAAATCTTGGATGTTTTACTGCAAATAAATGCCTGGAAATTGTTGGGGTTTTGAAAATGTCTACAGTGAGTGAATTCCTGCTATGTTCCCAATTTTGACTCAAAACTTTTATAAGGGATGTTCATCTAACAGATTTTTGCTGTGAGATTTGAAACTCTTTGTTTCAGACTTCTCACTCAGCTGCCTCCTCTGTCTCCAGTCTCTGACAGAAGTAACAAAAACTTATGAAAATATTAATAAATTAAAGAGAGTAGCACAATATTTCCTTTTCTCCAGTAACCAAACAGGAATATTTATATTCTGATAATCAAACTCTGGATGGCTCCACAGTTCATGTCAGGACATTACCCTGCTTGACATTGAAACGTCCTCATTTCTCACCCATACCTTTGATGAAATTACGCTGCTCTGTCTGTAAAACTGGCAGCTCATTTATCAGAGCTCTCCATGTTCTCATTTCAAGGCCAGCTCCAAGCAACATCTGCTCCTGTGAGCACACTTAATGCTTGAGAGATCCAGGACCCTGACATGGACAAAGCTGCATTTTTTTCCCTTTATTCCAACCCTGGAACATGGCATTCTGTACAGCAGGCCTTGCACAGGAACAGCCCTTCACCCCACAGCCAGGGAGATCAGCAGAAGGGAGCAGAACAACAACTGCAGGTCTGATTTCCTCAAAATATTTTTGCCTTACAACTCATCCCAGGCTAGGATGAAAACAGGTGGAGGAGGGAAAAAAAAAAAAAAATAAAAAAAGCCTAACAGATATTAACTTATTTACTTATTTGTTTGTATGCATTGCAAAATCACCTTTTGCTGTTGTTTCCTTCTACATCAGAGCAGCAGTGAGTGCAGAATTAACCCTGACAGTTTACCAAAAAATGTCTGCAAGGAGATCCCAATAATGGAAATAATGGTTTCATGGAGATAACAAAACATTCACTTCTGAACAGTTCTGACCAGCCAGGCTGGGTTTTGTTAGTGAATATACAATTAACTAGATTTGATTGTCCATGGCTAGGATGGAGAAAAAACTTTTGTTTGGGTCAATATATTGTGGTTAGAATTAATCTCAATTTAATAGAAAAAAAAATTGTAGCACTGTATTATTATTAATAATATATAATTAATTATATAATATATAATTAATTAAATATATTAGTTATATTTGTTATAATATTTATATTATATATAAATATAATTATATACTATATAAAACTATAAATATTTATATTTATTATTAATTATATTATTATATAATTTATATTGCTTTATAATTAATTGATATTGTTAATTACTATTAATATATTGGTTTTAATTCTTCTTTTCATTATTATTCATTATCATCATTATTATCAAAGTAGGTATTCCAATATAAAGAAATACGTATATCTGGAAACCAATAAAAACTTCCTATTTTTTCACCCTTTCACTGAGAATGCATTCTTTGGGGAAAAAAAAATAATAAAAAAAAGGTGTTGAAAGAGAACAAACAGAAGTCTACAAATGTTTCATTGTCCCTAAAATCCCAACTTCAAGGTGTTACAATCTACAGCAGTGAGATGCTGCCCTATCATCCCAGCTGGGTTTTTTGCACATGCAAAAATTTGAGCCATGGAATTATTATTCCTCAGTGACAAAATCTCAGCAGACCATTTCTTTACATAAAAATACATTTCACTGACAAAATTTAAACACATATATTCATTCATTCATTCATTCATTCATTCTCTAAAGACACTGGAACAGAAAATAAGGGAGATAATAATTTTCTTTCAAGGGATGTAGTATTTTACCTTCATGATTCCTTTTTCTGTTTCAGAGGGAGACAAAAGTCAACAGGTTCTTCTCAGAGACACACCTCATCATGGAATAACTGGATGTTACATATACATATATATATAAATATATATATTTTCACAACTGCAAATCCATGGAGCAGCTCTGTTACCTCCCTGAATGTTACACCCAGCATCATTTTCTAACTTAGATGAGACTTTGTGGCTTGGACAGTCTGAAATACTCCTAAATCTGAAGCACCAGAAATCCAAGTCACTTTGGGAGCAGCCAACACTAAACAACAGAAACCTCCAAAACTTTTCAGGTTCACTTAATTGTTTTGCAGTCACTGGAATGCACTGGAAAAAATTTAAATATTTTGGCAATTTACAATCTCTTTCCTGTTGGCTCTCTTTCATCTGATTATGACACATCTGTGCTATTGATAAATGACTCAGCCTTTGTGAGCATTGCTACAAGTTCTCTTTAATGAGTTAATAATTGTCTATTTCCAAGTGCAAAGATTTAAGCCAATTTTTTAACATGCTACAATGATTATAATATATTAATGCCTGTGCAACTCTTAGGCAGAGTGACCAGGCTCATTTTGCCTTCCTGCTCACATATTTTTATCAGCTAGCAATTAACCTTTACTAAGTGCTTTATTGAAGCCACTTACTTGTGAGAGTACATTTGAAGTGGAAACGTTTTTTCCAGAACTTCTTTCTATTTCACAAAACTTTTCAATTAAACTCTTTTTTTAGGCTGCCTTTCAGTCACAAAGGACAGCAATGTTATGAATAATAATAAAAGATGTGCTAGGAAGAAAATATTGAATGCAAACAGGAAAAACTGCCAATTGCTGATTAAGAATGAGTGTTAAGAGAGATTAGGACTGAGACCGATTTATGTGGTGGGTTGATCTTTGTTGGCCCCCAACTGCTCTATTACTTCTACAGGAAGGACAAGTGAGGAAAATAAAGCAAATTAAGATGGAGAAAGATGACTTATCAACTGCCTTTACAGGCAAAACAGGCTTGTCTGTGGAATTACTTCAATTTGCTGTAAATTAACAGAGTAGGATAGTCAGAAATAAAAAAAAATATGAATTAAAAAAAAAATCCAACCAAACAAAAGCCCACAAACATCAACCACAACAACAGCATCCTCTCCACCCATCAAAAATTTAAAATACCCCCTCCCACACCAAAAAGACACTCCACAAACACCTCTACCCTTCTGTACCTAAAGACCTGAAAATTCTCCTTATGAAAACCCAGGAGATGTCTTCCCATCCACTTCTTGTGCCTGTGTGCATATTCATCTCCTTCAGTTTATGAGCACTTCAAAGGATTTTATTTTCACTGTGATTTCACAATTGCATATTACAAATGCATTACAAGGGTTTAATTTTCACTAACTGGCATTTTAAAAGTCTTCTCACAATACAGGTATTTGTTGTATTTCTCTTTTTTTTTTCAAGTGTTTTGATTAGCTGCATAAACCAAGAGGTATTTAATTGAACAAATCCTATTGAAAAAGAAAGCACTGAGAATGTTTTTGCTGTTCTGTTTCAAAGTCACACTGAGGTTGTTAACACCCTGGCACACCGCCCACATGTCAGGAATTCATGGTTTTTAAAAACAGGTACTTGCAGTGCTGGAGTCAGAGTGGGAGGATGAACACTTATGACACATAACTGTGATTATCTGAAAAGTTTCTGCATTTTTTTCAGGTAAAGTAAACCCATCTTTCATCGCAGATGAAAAGCATCAGGTTACTCGTCGAGGTTCAGCTCCATCCCAAGGAGCAGGAGTGCTCCTGAATAATGCCCTTTCCAAGTGAGCATCCTGTTGGGCTGGGACATACTGTGCTGCTGAACAGATTGTTTAGTCTTATCACCACCAACTGGATTCTTTAAAAGAAAAAATAACCAAAAAAAAAAAAAAATCTGGAGGCGTTAAGAGTCTCTTCTATTGTGAATTCAGTTCATGATGAGATGAAGAAGCCATGATGACCTCGGTTGCTTTAATTAAACATACACCTTGAAATAAATATCCTCCATCTGTTTGACTTGCTCATTAGGGCAATGAAAAACAGAATGGATTTCACAAACAAAGTAGGTGACATTTTCTGAAGTTTGTGCAACCTATCTGTGCAGCCAATAAATGGTGAACAGCTATTGTCATGAGGAATCCTAAAGAAAATCAAAATAGCTGCAAGAAGTATGGAACCATCCACTGAAGCAGGGAGGGAGTCATTTCCCTTGATTTATTCAACTACGTCTTAAAAATAATGCACATTTTGTTTTAATTGACATGAAATGTTCTTGCTACAAACTCAGCAGGACTCTTGTCTTCTCAGAATAAAAAATAAAAAATAAAAATGTTGTCTTCTACAATCAGAGATGGATCTCCTGAGTTTTATCTGGACCTACAGTGATGAGGCTCCAGTCACACAAAACTGCAGTAACACAACAGAGAGCATCTGCAGGCTGGCATAAACCAGGATTGTTCTCTGTTCCACTTGATTATGATTTTTGAGTCTGCTTGGAGGTGGTATTTTGAAGGTGACATGTTCAATCAAAGGCTGGTTTTAAGCTTTCTCTGTCAACTTAGTTGGTTTTGGTAAGGGGAAAACCAAAGGTGTGCAAAAATGGCATCAAGGAGACCGTGACTGAAATTTGTCTGTAACCAAGAACTTCTCTCTTCTTTGCCAGGGTCTTGCCTACCATCCCTGCTATGCCAGAAGTGAGAGAACAAAATGTCCTTTACAGCTGAGCCTGCGTTAAAGATGGAGATGGGAAGACATGCCTCAATACAGAATATTCCTTTAGGAAATCCAGATATCGGATAGTGAATCAGCTGGGGGGTTTTTGTTGGGTTTTGGGTTGTTTTTTTTTAATAAACAGTACTGTTATCTGATTTATCTTATTTGGCCTGCTCCTGGATACTTTATGAAGTGCCCAAATGACTTATTCTTCTAAAGTTAAACTGAAAGTTGTGGGTTTTGGGTTTTTTTTGTGGTTTTTGCTCAGTGCCATGTACAGATTATGCTGACATAGAGAACACCTTAATGTGAGTTACTGGAGGATTACATCTTCCCTGTTCCACAGTTCCCCTTAACTTCAGCCCAGGAACTCCCTGTAACCCAGTGAAATCCCACAGATATGATTTCACTGCAAATAAGATGAAAAACAGCTTTTCTGCAGAACAGGATGTGACCAGTGCTATGCATCATTAAACACAATGGGAAACGAGGTGAGAACAGCATAGAAAGCAGCACACATTTATCTCATTTTCACCAGATTTCTTTAATAATTCTGAAGCACTGCAACAGGAGTGTCCCGAGGGACCAAACAGGGAAGGAGTTTTAACTGTTCCTGTTTTTTTCTTCAAAGCTTCATTCCTTTTCTTCTTCTAAGTGAAAACAATAGGACATTTAAGTCCAGGAGTGAAATTTTTAAGGTAAGTAGACATCCAAAGGTGTAGAATAATGTCAAGTAGTGTTTTCAAAGGCCTGACTGGATAACTGATAATAAGGATGGCTAATTCATAATGAGAACTAGCTCCCAGTGATTTTCATTGCAGTTAAGTGTCCAAGTACTGAAAATCCAATTAGAAATTAGGGATTTCAAAAGAGGCACTGATGGTTTGCAGTCCTCAGGTAAGATGGTCTAAAATGCATAAAGGAAAAACAGAGTCCATATTGGACATAACATTGGACTGTTAGGGTGGGAGTGAAAAACTGCACTTCTTATATTTATTGTGTGTTCAGGGCCACATCACAAAGACCATAAATGCCTAGCTGTCATGTATTTCTTCTCAGAAAAATCACAGCTACATTTGTTTGAGTCAAGTATGTTTGAGTTTGAGTCAGGATGTTTCCAGTAGGAGTGATTTATCGACCCTGCTGTTTTATTCTTGTTAAAATGTACCTAACCAGCAGCTGGTATATGCTGAAGAATTATGAGGCATCTGCTTGGATTTGCTTTTTTTTTTTCTCCATCAGTAATTAATGATACCTTGAACACTGGCTTTATTGTACAATAATACCATCAGCTTAAAGCTTGTTAGTTCCCAGATGTCCTTGAGTAGGGGATGCTCTTTGTTCTAATACAGAACCACAGAAAGGCTGGGGCTGGAAGGGATCTCTGGAGCTCTTCCAGTCCAACCTCCTGCCCAGGCTGGGTCCACCAGGCAGCACAGGAATACATCCAGGTGGGTTTAGGGTGTTTCCAGAGCGGGATGCTCCACAACCTTCCTGGGAAGCTGTTCTGGAGCTCTGCCTATCCATGGAATTAAGTTCTTGTGTTTTAGTTTATGACCACTGCTCCTCGTCCTGTCACCCTCAGGAACTGCCTTGGAGTTATTTATGCACATTAATGAATTCCTTCATAGCCTTGCCTTCTCCACACCTTTATTTACTACACCCTTAAAGCTTCTTAGTTCCGGCATGTCCCTGATTACGGGACGCATCTGCTGCCTGTGCCACTGACGAGAATGAACCTCCTTTCTCGCCCATCAGGCTTGAAAGCACACGGGGATTTCACCCCAAAGAACGCTCGGCTCAAGGCAAGCTCGCCGCATCCCCTTCAACACCAACTCATCAACAAAACGCTTCTGCCGAGCATCCCACGGCCCCACCAGCCGCCGGGGGCGCGCTGTAAGGCCGACAGCACCCTGATTCCTTCCACCTCGAGGCACTTCCACGGGGCTAGAGCCGAGCAGGAGGAGCCGCGGCGGGGCCGGCCCCGCAGCATCCCCGCCCCGGACGGACGCGCTGTCCCGCCCCGCCGCC